TGCACTTTGGATGGGTAAATGCAGAGCACTAATTCCGAGTATGGGTCACCATACTTGGCCACATGTCAACTTTTTCACCTTTTTCACTTTTTTTTATGCTCTTTTACAAAGTCTTGATTTTGTTTTGGGGGTGTACTACTCATGCTTGTCATACTAGGTTGTTCGAAAAACACATTATTTTTCACATATTTTACATGATTACAACACCTCTCTCCCCAGTCTGTTTTCTATGAGTGTAGGCACACCGGCGGCGCCCAGCTACGTCGTGTTATACTTGTAAGAATTGTTCTAGACATGCTGAAAATTTTACGCTACAGCACAGCAGCTCTTCTTCTTGGTTTTCTCTGATGCACTAACTCTGCAGCAGCACTTCTTCGTCGTCTCGTATGATGCACTCAACCAAGCGTTCTAACCACAACCTCGCCCCTCCCCACCCATTCGAATTTCTGTAGGTGGGAATTATTTGTAATGATATTCCAATGAACCGCTTTGTGATATCACAAAGCCCGGAAAACAAACGCTGTAGTCCAAACGAGCCGTTCGTTGTAGTTCTTGAAAAGGGATTTAAAAAAAACGAAATATCTCCCTTTGGAGTGGACTTTGAGATTTGTAACTTTCTATATCTTTTTTATGCCCAAACATACACACTACACACTGACTAAAATTAAAAAAGTGAAAAAGCATAATAGGACCCCTTTAAGTAAACAGTAGCACAGTAAACGGTCTAGTTGAGTCCAGGAAGGAACCCAACCCAATCCCCTGAGACGACACGGACAATCAAGATAAGAAGCAAAAGAAAATAAGTCTCACCTAGAGCTTTTACTGCAATCTGGCGTGTGTGTGGAGGTGGTGTCAATATGCAGACAAGATGGACTTCTGGATGTAACAGCACGTCATCTGTCTTGTTGGTGGAAAAGGGAATGTTCAACTCGCTGGCTAGTGACTCTGCTTCCTCTTGCGTATGGCCCCAAACAGCCTGAACAGGGAAGCCTTCCTTTTGGAGCAACGGCACTAAGGCACGTACCGTCTGCCCGGTTCCAAATACACCCACGCCCGGCAACATTATTCTAACTTACAAGCAACTCTGTGTCTCATTCCACACTGCTAATGTAATCTCTTTTGACACAGATGCTTGGCCTGTGAAAAGAGAGAGAAACATCAAAGTTCACTGACACTTGCACATGGATGCAAAATAATCTCTAGACACAGCGCATGCAGTTGCAAGCATGTCGACACCAAGCTCCAAGTTAAAATTAACCTCAGGGCCACTTCAGGCTATCACGATCAATACACAATAGAGATAAAGCACTGTATGACCCCACTGTTATCAGTGGCTCGAGTGACAGCTGTCAGATACAAGCCTGGGCGTTGCTGACCTACCAGCTGGCTTGCAATTTAATTTACATCCCAAAGGCTGTGCACCTGCCTAGCAAAGGCAAATGAGAAGCATGTTTGTATTTCCTCTGTGTACTAAACACAAGGTAGTTCCTAGTAGGGCTAGTCTTGATTTGCAAACATATATTTCTAGTAGTAAATACAGAGAAAAGGGTAGGACCATCACGAACATTCCTAAAGAACTGATAAGGAAGGGTGAACTTGACGAATTATGTTGTTTTTAATAAAGAAACGTAAACTATATCAATTTTGTGACCCATCCTAGAGGCACACTAATATTAGCATCATCACTTCCTCGCGCTAACCCGCGGATGTAGGGCGGATAGGGTAACCCTTGGTTTAAAAGTTTAGCTTTTAAAGAATTCCTTGTTTTATTTTACTTAAAAACAATATAAATCATCAAACTTGACACTTTCAAAGTAAACATGCTTCGTAGCAGATGCATATCGTTGTAGCTTAGCAGAAACCGGTCCATTTCAACCGCACAGTCACAAATACACACATTCGAGCTCGTGTCAAATCAGTGACTTCTGGCTCGGTTATTAGTTCATTTTTCAACGGCTCTGTTAGTTTCATATGGGCTGTTACTTACCACAAAACAAAGCCCTGGGATGCGATGGCGCCGCTGTGGAGAATGATGATGGCCAGAGAATGGTGGACACCTCCCTCCCTTTCTGCTCCACTTTAGTCAGGGCTCTGCTCTCATGTCATCTCAACACCAGGAGGAGGAAAAACAGGACAAACCCGTCACGCCTCCCACCCTCTCGACGTATGGTGCATTCTTCGGCCGTCTTGAAATCACGGTACGTTGTTTCATGTGTATTGTGTAACTTCACAGTACTACTGCTGCTGCTGTGCTCACTTTTCATTGCTCTGTGGGATGATGTTTAAAGCGAGACGTTTGATTTTGTACGCCTGCGCGAACCGTCGGTTTATCTGCCACGCCCATATCATTGAACTGAAACAGTTTGGCACATTCCATGAATTCAGTCTTGGTAAATAGGTCATCATATTCCTTAAAATTGTGACTCCCAGGAAAAAAAAAAAACATTATTTGTACCCTTTGTAGAAAATTATAAAATTACATAAATCAGAATTTAAACCGTATTTAGACTTTCTAATATTTTGGTAATATGGCTGCAAAAACAAAACAAACAGAGAAAATAAATAGAAAAATAAAATAGTTCATGTGACCATTTGTTGAAAAATGTACTCATCTCGGAGAAAACATTCTAGGGATAGAATTGGAAATTTTGTCATCATTTACTCACCCTCATGTTGTTCCGACCTTGTGCGTTTCTTTCTGTTGAACACAAAATAACATAATTTGAAAAATGTTTTGAAAAACAGTTGCCGGTAGCCATTGACTTGCATATTATGGAGGAAAAAAACAACATTATGGAAGTCAATGGCTACTAGAAACTGTTTGGTTACCAACATTCTTCAAAATTAGTTCTTTTGTGTTCAACAGAAGAAAGACACTTATGTTGAGGGTGAGTAAATGATGACAGAATTAAATTTTTAGGTGAACTATTCCTTTAAAAGACTTCTTTATCATAGGTAAGAAGGCATATTTGCGTAGTGTTCTGAGCTTATCATGAAGATAAGTGACCCAGATTGACCTTTGAGTTGATGCTTTGGACTCAACAACAACAACAACAACAACAACAACAACAATGATTATTTATAGAGCACATTTAAAACACAACCGAGGTTGAGCAAAGTGCTTTACAAAAAATAAAACAAATAAAATAAAAGAGTAACAAGGGAATCAACAGACAAATAAGATCAGCAGGGTACAGTAAAAAACCCAGGAAACATACTAAGTAGTGTTATAAGCCAGGGTGAAACAATATGTCTTTAGATAAGATTTAAAAATACAAATAGATGGGGCACGTCTGATAAAGGGAGGAAGGCTATTCCAAAGCTTCGGTCCCGCAGTAGCGAAGGTGCGATCACCACGATTTTTAAATTTAACTCTAGGGACTATGAGTAGGCCAAGGTCACAAGATCTCAAGGTTCTAGACGGGGTATACAGAAGCAGCAAATCGGTTAAGTATTGAGGAGCCAGGTTATTGAGGGCTTTGTAAACAAATAATAAGATTTTAAAATTAATCCTATACTTAACAGAGAGCCAGTGTAGGGACTTTAAAATAGGAGTAATATGGTCATATTTTCACTTCCCTTCAAGCAGTCTAGCGGCTGCATTCTGAACTAACTGAAGACGAGAAATTGAAGACTGAGAAATACCAAAATACAAAGAGTTACAATAATCAAGCCGAGATGTTATAAAGGCATGGATAGCTGTTTCAATATTTTTTTCTAGATAGGAAGGGCTTAACTTTACTGAGAAGGCGAAGTTGGTAAAAACATGACTTAACTACAGCTGAAATCTGTTTCACTCTTCCTGAGTGAGGAAGCCAAGATCAAAGTTAAAAGCAACATTTTCCCTAGGACCAAACTAAATTTCTGATTTGTTTTCATTCAGGTGTAAGAAATTGCTTGAAAGCCATAGCTTAAGTTCGTTTAGGCAATCTAACAATGGCTGAAGAGAATATTTATTATTACACTGTAGGGGAAGATAAAGCTGGGTATTGTCAGCGTATAGATGAAAAGAGACACCATATTTTTTTTAAATAGAAGCCAAGGGGAGCAAATACATTGAAAACAACACAGGCCCAAGGATCGAACCTTGCGGAACACCACAACGAAGAGGAATGTCAGTAGAAACACAAAGCCCTATTTGAACAGTAAAACACTTATTTGACAAATAAGAGCGAAACCATTGTAAAACTATATCACAAAGTCCTACACAAGACTCCAGGCGTGACAGAAGAATCTTGTGGTTGACTAAGTCAAATGCAGCACTTAAGTCTATGAGGATAAGAGCCATGGGTTTCCCTGAATCTGTCATGAGAAATATGTAATTTAAGACTCTTAACAGAGCAAATTCAGTGCTATGAACTTTAAAACTTGATTGAAAGACTTCATTAATAGAGTTATCTGACAAGTAAGACTGTAGTTGAACCAGTACAACTTTCTCCATAATCTTTGAAATAAAAGGAAGATTTGAGATGGGCTGAAAATTGGAAAGAGATGTAGGATCGAGGTTCGTTTTTTTTTAAGATACGGTGTTACAGTAGCCTGTTTAAGGCAAACTGGAACAGTACCAGTTTGTAAGCATGTATTAATTACTGATAACAGACTTGGGCCAACTGCATCCATAATTTGTTTAAGGAAAAACGGAGGAACTATATCTTGTGGACATGATGTAAGCTTGAGATGATCCACAATTTCCTTTGTGGCTTTGTTCCTTTCCTTTCAATGACTCCCTATATCGCTCTCTCTCTTTATATGCTGCAAGCATAGGCTACATAATAAATAGCTATTATTGGTCATGTTATTTTGAAGGGCTATTAATAAATTAAATACTATTAGGCTATATATTTTTTGTAGGCTATCTATTCTCAGTTGCTCATGCTGCTACTGTTATGTAATGCCTAGGGCAGCTTTCCTAAACAAGGCATTCTTTGAAAATGTTTGGTTTGTTTTAATCAAATATCGCAGATGCTAATTCAAGAATCACTGTAATTGTCCAAACAGTTAACCAGACATTATAAAGGTTAACACACTCGAACCAGTGACGTAAAGGTTAAAGGAAACAGTGTGTCATTATAACGCTGTTATTTAAGTATTTGTATTGTTAGTATATGTTTTACGTATTCCTATATATTTGTTTTATATGTTCTGTTTTTAATGTTTCCATTTCGTTCGGTATAAATGGTACCATTCAAAGCACGCTCTTATATTGATTTACAAAGGATGAAACAAGTCCAATTTTTAGCATACAAACATAATTTCAAAACTGTCTAGTTTTATTTACACATAGTGCAAGTTAAAAGCACTGTTGCAAGTTGCAACACTCTTGGCTTTGCATTATAAAGTCCTCCAAAGGCGCACATCTGCGCAGACGCGAGTCTATCGACGCATTTGAAACCAAAACAGGAAGTCTTAAGTATTGTGGGACGTGTAGTTCCGCTTGTAGGCCGCTGTTCTGGATAACAGCACACGAAGGAACCAAACAAAACATAATTAGGGAAACTTCCAAGGGACTGCTGTAATACTGGTGCATCTTTTACACGATCATGCCCGGCTTTACGTGCTGCGTGCCCGGTTGCTACAACAACTCGCACCGGGATCGCGATCTGCGGTTCTACACCTTTCCGAAGGACCACACTCAGCGAGAGATATGGCTGAAGAACATTTCGCGGGCCGGGGTGAGCGGCTGCTTCAGCACTTTCCAGCCCACCACCGGCCACCGGGTCTGCAGCGTCCACTTTCCCGGAGGCAGGAAAACCTACACCATTCGCGTCCCGACGCTTTTCCCTCTGCGCGGGGTGAACGAGAGGAAGAGCAGGCGAGGAAGGAGCAGGAAGGTCTCCGCGGTCGTGCCCATCATCAGCAACGTCGTTTCCACCGCTAACGAGTCAGCGCCAGTGGAGGAAGAGGGGGACACCGAGAACACATGGCGGAAGAACATTTCGCGGGCCGGGGTGAGCGGCTGCTTCAGCACTTTCCAGCCCACCACCGGACACCGGGTCTGCAGCGTCCACTTTCCCGGCGGCAGGAAAACCTACACCATTCGCGTCCCGACGCTTTTCCCTCTGCGCGGGGTGAACGAGAGGAAGAGCAGGCGAGGAAGGAGCAGGAAGGTCTCCGCGGTCGTGCCCATCATCAGCAACGTCGTTTCCACCGCTAACGAGTCAGCGCCAGTGGAGGAAGAGGGGGACACCGAGAACACCACCGTGGTGCAGATAGGTCAGAACGGCCAGTACATCGCGCCCGTGGACCTCGCCGCTTCAGGGGACGGCTCCTGCCTCGCGGCGGTGGTCTCGGAATCCGGCGAAACCCTGACCGGAGGCAGCGCGTCTTGCCCCGTTGCCGATCTCGCGCTGTGCGGGGTGGACCACTCGTACTCGCTCACCACCGGCACAACGTCCGCTGAACTACTGAGGAAGCTGAACGAGCAGCGGGACATCATCGCGTTGATGGAGATCAAAATGAAGGAGATGAAGAACACCATCCGACAGCTGCGGGTCAACGAGGCACGGCTGCAGGAGGAGCTGCGGGAGCGGGACCGTCTGATCTCCACCAACACCATCATTACGAGGAAACTCTGACGAACGACGCAGAGAAACGACGGACTAAAGACGCAAAGGAAGGTCGGTGTTCGGTGCTTCTGTAAGACAAGGCGACGACAATTAAGTATCATCGTAGTTCTCATTTAAACTTCCTCCAGGACTCAGAAGTGGTAGATAGGCTGTGTTTGTGTGTTAGAGCGCATATACATGAGTTCAACTTGTATGCTCGAGCTGTCCGGCATAGCGCTACACGGGGACTGAGATGAGTTCAGCAGACTGGTCCTTCTCATTTTATATTTAATGATGATACACGTTTGTGCTGTTTGTGTGTTGAAGGCAGCAGACCCAAGATCTGCCTACTGCCACACTTCATAACCATGTTACACGCACACAGAGACTGCGTCATAAGTGTGTAAACAACTGCTTATTATTTGGGTTGATTATAATATTTCAGTGCATCAGATCAGAGCTTCTGGTCCAGATGAACCGATTCTTTACATGCAGGTTAACGCAGTTAGAAAAGATGATTGGTTTGAAGTAAACTGCTTTTGAACTATAATTTGTGGGACTGTTTTTGTAGTATTGCATTTAAACAAATTATTTAGTTCGGAATCCCTTTTTTAAGATTCTTTACCACACAAGTTCTGAATATGTTGTGCACTATAAAAGCTGTTTCTTTTCTGTTTGAAGCCTTGTGGCATCACATTTATTCAAGCAAATTTCATTTTAATTGTC